TTTTCCTGAGACACGCGAGGATGTAGGTCTATAGTGAAAACGCTTTTCTCATTGAGAAACGCACACGAAAACGCATGCACACACGTACGTACGCAATTTCATTTTACTTCATTTTCTCTAGGACTTCTACACATTTTACATACATGAACAATTCACTAATCTTTACTAAAGTATTTTCATGCATTTCATTATATTGTCACACAATATCATTGTCTTTGTCGCTCGTAACAATGTAATCTTTTGTTGTGTTAATAATACATTATCGTTTGTTTGTATATATATATTGTTTTTTTTTTTTTTTTTTATTACCCGGACTCACATATCGTGTCCGCCATTTTTTTGTGGGATAAACATTTCAGGAGACAAGTGTTTCCCAACTTAAACACTTGGCCTACATACTCCCGTAACAATATTCATCATCAGATCTAACCAGACGATAGTTCTTGTGTTGCTGTTTATTTTTACAACCAAATAATGGATCCGTTACTAATGTTGCAATATAAGGAAGAGAAAGATGAAGAAACGAGTTAAAATTAATAAAAAGAAAGTAAGTGTAGAATGTTTAATCTAAAAAGGAACTTTGTTTTCTTTACTACGATTTGGTTAACTTGTTCAGTGTTCAGTTGAGAAATTCTTTTTGTAAGTCAATCGGAATACTATGTACTTATATTTGACTCGGTAATTTCCAGTCATATGACAAATGTCATTCGGTTATTTCCGTTTGTGCAACGTCTTCGTGACGTTAATCCTTTCTTGTGGAGCACATCGGGAATTTCCGTTAGTATGCCACATGTTGTTGAATTATTTCTGTCAGCGCGCCATTCGTGATTCGGTAATCTCCGCCAATATATATATATCATTATTCGTTAATTTCCGATGTATATTTTCTACGATTCGGTCATCTCTGCTCAATTGTCATTCTTTCTTTCTTTTTATGTGCCACGTCCTTTCAGGACGTAGGCGATCATAGCTCTCCACCTCCCTCTATCCATTGCAGCCCTCAACAAGTTCCTTCTCTCTGCTTCCTCCTACAGACCACGTTCTGTCATCCACTTGTTTAAGCACGCGTTGATTTCCATTGTCTCTCTTTCCCTCTATTCGACCCGTGAGTATCAGATTCTCCAGACCCCCTTCCTCACTCTGTGTCCCAGAAACTTCAGCTGCCTCTTCCTGATGTTAATTATAAACCTTCTTCATGTTTGCAACCTCTGTAAGACCTCATCGTTGCTTACACGCTCGGTGTATGATATCCTTAGCATCCATCTGTAGAATCACCTCTCCGTTGCCTCGAGTCTCTTCATCTTTGAGGAAATCGTCCAACATTCGCTGCCTTACAGAAAAAGAATATTTTTCAGTATTCTTTTCTTCGTTACCGAAGAAATCCTCCTGTCTCGCCCAGCTTTTGGAATGCGTCCTTGGCCATCCCAATACGTCTACGGATCTCAGTGTCGCACTTACCGTCCTCTGTCAAAAACGCTTCCCAGACACTTCCGCGTCTGCTTGATTCTAGTGTTTCCGCATTTCGGGCTCATCCTCTTACTGATGACCATGTATTCTGTCTTCTTGTAGTTTATGTCCCTTCTTCTCACTCTCCTTCGTTACCTTCTGTAGGAGATTTTGTAATTTCTTTTCTGTGTCTGCTATCAGTACTGTGTCATCTGCGTATCTTATGTTGTTAAGGTTGTGGTCGGCAATGCTAAATCCGTTAGGGTTTCAATTCTCTCAGAATTGCCTCGCTGAACAGGTTGAACAGGTCAGGTGAGAAGACGCATCCTTGCCTTACGCCCCTTTCTATTTTTGTATATTCACTGAACTCGTTCCCTATGCGCATGTATGCTGGTTGCTGCGAGTATAAGTTCTTGATTATTCTGATATCTTTCCCGAATATATCAAGGTTGCTGAGCAGTTCCAGCAGGTCCTTGTGGCGTACTTTGTCGAAGGCCTATGAAATATAGGTGCACGTGCCTCTGCATCTGTATCGCTCTTTCTAATAACATTCTGAGCATGAATATCGCGTTCCTTGTTCCGGTGTCTTTAACAAACCCGCACTGTTCTTGTCCTATCTCTGGCCTGATTCTGCTGCGTGCTCTATTCATTAGAATACGGATGATTAGTTTTGTCACGTGGCTCATTAAGCTTATTGTTCGGTAGAGTTCACGTTCGTTTACGCCTGGTTTCTTAGGCATAGATTTTATCATGAGTACAGTTTTAGATACTGCAATTAAATTTGAGGTTTTTCTCATTTCATATCAAGATTTTTTTTAAATGTTGAGTATTTCAAAGGAAAATTCTTTATTTCCGCCATTTTGTAAAATCAAGTATAATTAAAGACACGAATCGCAATAAAATCGAGAATATTTTCATCTGAATATGTGCTTCAGTTTTCTGTTTCGAAAAGAAATAAAACTTGATGATAAGGATGGATATTATTTAAAATGATACTAGATAATTTTAAAATTATAAAGCATTTTCCGAACTTTCCAGCATGCATGATTAAAAGTTTAGTAAATATTTGTCAATTTAATGTTTTTAGGCCAAGTTCTGTAAATTGAAGCCAATTGAATGTCAAAAGAAATATAGCGAAACGTGGTTAAGATCATGCAATTTCTACACTTACAAATATTTTTTAAACAGATACACGTTCCCAAAGAGTTGAATTTTAGATTTGCTGATATTTTGCAGTTTCATCCCGACACTCAAGTGGAATAAAGAATTTCATAGACCTCAATGCCAGAGTTGCTACAGGAACCAAAAATGAAACAAGCAATAGATACGTTTTAATACTTGGTGAGACGTTAAACAATTATTACATGACCGACATAATTGAGCCTATTTTGCTTCGATTACACCTTTCGGATGTTCGAAACCTCAGTAGGGATGCAACTAACTGCGACAGAGATGCAACCAACCGTGGTACAGATGAAACCAACTCTGGTGAATTTGCAACCAACCCTGGTAGAGATGCAACTAATATCTGTAGAGATGCAACCAACCACAGTAAAAATGAAACTAACCCTGTAGACATGCATCCAGACCCGGTAGAGATACACACGTAGCAACTATTTCGTTATTATTTTATTATCAAAGCTATAATTTTAGTTTAAACGTTCACGTTCAGTTCACTGGCTTAGGGGCATTCTAGTATTAAGTTTCTGATTGAAATTTCATTTTATCATTTTCTATGATATTTCTATTTTCTTTTTAATTCGTCAATAATCAGGAATTAAATTAAAAGAAATTTTCCACATACCAAAGTTTCGCTGAACGGTTACAACGGGTATATATATATATATATATATATGTCTGTATACAGGGTGTATGACAAATACTTTTACAAACTTTGGGCTGGAAGCTCATATCAAAACAAGGACAAAGTCCATATAAACATATATCAGCAAATCTTTCGTTTATGAGTTATTAAATTTGAAGAAAGTCTACGGTAGATGGCGCTTTGTTGTCATGTATACTAGGTTATATTTGTCATTCGTGTACATTTGTAGCTAGTCAGTCGTCAACGTTTAACGTGTGTAGTAGTGAGTTAACTGAGAAATGTTCGGTCCAACAATAGTAGGCTATTCATATCGTGAACAGGCAGATATGATTTTTACATACAGCTGGGCGAATAGTAATGGACGCGAGGCTGTACGGCTGTATCAGTTTGCGTTTCCAGACTGGACATATGTTTATATATACTTATCAAAGTTTTGATGTGAGGAACCCGCCCCAAAGTTCATAAAACTATTTTTTTATATACTATATATATATATATATATATATATATATATATATATATATATATATATATATATATATATATATATATATGTGTATGTGTGTGTGAGTTTGTGTGTGTGTGGCCATTCATATGTTTATATATATATATATATATATATATTCATATGGCATATATATATATTATATATATATATATATATATATATATATTTAAACATATTATTAACTATAACACACAATGAATGTCTATTATGTCTGATCATGAGCCGTTCTAATGTTCGAATGTTTGCTTTAATTTCTAGGGAAATTAAAGACAAAAATTGTCCAACATTTGAATATTTTTTATTAAGTTTGTCCTAAGCTTTTGGCTCACATGAGTCATCCTCAAAGTGGTTATACAGACATGATATATATATATATATATATATATATATATATATATATATATATATATATATATATATATAAGGATATATGGATACATATCTATTCATATATATATGTAAGTATATATATATAGGAGAATCAATGATTCCAAGCACTAATGATAAAAAAGAATTTATTCTACAGAGCAATGACTTATTATTATTCGACATAATCTCCTGTTTTGTCAATGCACTTTACATAATATTTCCCTATCAATAACATATCTACTCTCTCTCTCTCTTTCTCTCTCTCTCTTTCTCTCTCACTCACACACACACACACACACGATGAAATTTCGTAAACTTAAAAACGTATTGCTTGTCATTGATGAGCCAAATGTTACTCAGAAATGATAGAGATAAACATTTATATACTTTTTCTTGTTAATTGGTTTTAACGTTCATCATTTCTAGGCTTAACTATTTCGGTTGGGGAGACAGAGTGGTACAAACAATGGGACGGAAATACAGCTTTACATTACGTTTTAATTATATAGCTTCTCCTCATTATGTGAGATGACTTTCCCCGGGCCTGACCCTTCGCACTGTCTGGCTTATGTTTGCTGCTTCTCACAACAAAAGCAAAAAGCCCAGCAAAATTCTCTCAGCCAGTGCTTTTGTAACTGACGCTCTTCGCCTAATGACTTATCGATCTGGCTTCATCGGCGGCTAAGATAAACAGTCCGGATTTTGAAAAGGATCGTGCAATGGACGACCAACTAACAAAACTAAGCGATAGCCTTGACAACCAGTCGAGTTATTCGTTATAGCTATTGACCCGAACGATCGGCCGTGCCGGACGGCGCAAACCAATACAAACAATTAAGATTTTGGCGGGAAATGTTTTTGAAAGGCTTCATTTATTCATTTTCTGATCAGTCTGCTTTCTTTCTTTCTTTTTTCTTTCTTTTTTCTTTCTTTCTTTCTTTCTTTATTCATTTATTTATTTCCGGTTAGTGCGTGATCAGACATTGACTCTTAAACTTTTCTGCTTTTATTTATATTCATATAATTATGCCTTATATATTCACGTATAAGATGACATTTTTAAGATAAATATTTTGAGCAAAAATTGCGTGTCATAGATCTGTGCAAGATGAGAATTACCCAGGAGAAATTTCAGCAGTAGACAAAAATATTCAACACTTACAAGTAAATAACTGATATCAATTAAGTCAGTTTTATTCGACCTAATTTCTTTTCCTTTTAAGAAATTCACATCAACGATGACGACTCAGTTGCATAGCTTAAAGCCTGTTAACTTAAAGCCTGTTAACTTTTCTGTTAACTTAAATCCTGTTAGCCTATTAAAACTAAGCACAAGTGATGAAGAGATCAAACTTGAGAATTATCGACACTAAATGTATTCAAGAATTTTCCGCACAGTACAAAGACCAAATTTTGGGATAAAGAACAGCAAAGATGAAAATGTTATTGCAAGAGAATCATTACATCGTCACAATACATCATTTCAGAAATTTGTAGCAGACTGCGTCATTATAAAAAGAGGCGTGTCTAATAAAACTTTCATTTCAGATAAGAAGAGTAAAGGGTGAATTCGGTCGAATTACTGCCATTTTTTATAAAGACCCAATTGTTGTAACTGAGATTATATATATATATATATATATATATATATATATATATATATATATATATATATATATATATATATGTATGTATGTGCATGTGTGTGTGTGTGTGTGTGTTCTTTTTAAATGGGATGAACAGGGAATGTCTGTTATGCCTTTTGGGAAGTTAGAAATTTGTTAAGAAACTTGCCGAGATTATGAGTTATGCTCCAAGTACTTTCGACCATTAGTCAATCACATTCAAGAAAAGAAATTAGAAAGTTGAGATATAGTCAGAAGACTGTTTATGTTGTTAGCGCCCAGAATTTGAAATTAAAGTGTGTTTATATATAATTGCTGAATAGATTTTAGCGTTAGCATTGAACCTCATGGTTCAAAAGCATTTTAACACATATGCTACCTAGATGGAAAGAAATTTTATTCATTGTGGGTTGCCTTGTTTTGATGTCGAAGGCGTCCAAAGTTTGTAATAGTCTTTTTTCATTTGCGTTGGTAGTGTAAGGTTGTATTGTCTGATGACAGGTCAATGTCGAAAAAGAAATTGAGTTTTTGTTTTTTAGAAAATAAAGTATCCTAAAAAAAAAATCAGAGAATTGGTATACACCATTAGTTTTTTTTTTTTGTAAAGGGAGAATTGTTGTTCGTCAGCACAAGGTTGAGTTTTAAACTTTTATAGAATCTTAGGCGAATTTGAATATTTATACAAATTATGTAGGAATTATATTTTATTGCATTTCATCTTTTATGTAATTGGAGGCATATGATTACAGTAAAATAAGTTAATGGTATTTTTGTGGTTTAAATCGGGTTTATTATGTATCTTACTAACATAACATGTTATCTTAACAGACAATGTGTCTGTAAAAATAAATATATTTGTTCATCGACGATGCCATTAGGAAAGAACTCGACACATAACACATAATTTCGACAATTTCTTTTACATTTTAATTTCCACCTGACATCAAAAGAGTTATTACCAGGAGAAATTCCCCCAAAAGGTTAACAAATGTTCTGTTTTTTTTTTGTTTGAAGAAGGTATTATGCTTAATATATATTGTTATATAATGTACCTAGAAACACTAATGGGTAATCCCCATAAGTATGTTGGACAGTATTGCAAATGGGTAATATGCTGTCTAAGTAGTCCACCACTATTTACCTATTGCACACCACTGGCGAGTATTGTATTTTGTTGATGCTATAAAGATTACCATTTCATTTCCAACCTTCGTTTTGCAGTAACCTTTTCTATGTTACAACACGCACACACACACACACATATATATATACTCGACTCTCCCGTCGATTTCGACGTATGAGGGTCAAGCAGATCAGTTTCCAGGAAACCGACAGCCCGACAACAGCACATGAGATTTGATTATAGTGATGAAGGTTTCGTGCAGGACCATCCACACTTTTTGAAGTGCCGAATACAGAGACCTGGTGCACTAAGTGCCACAAGGTCCCCAAACGACCATCCGCAGGTTTTGAATTCAAAGTTGTCCTTCTCCTAGACCAGTCTGTCCTGCTATTTACCCATAGCTGGAGGGAGAAAAAGAGGATTCACACCTTTCCCAAGAGTATTAGCACGTAAGTGAATGTAATGGATTCTACTGGAATTCGAACTCGGCTCTGCGATTCCTCAATCCAAGCCGCTATCCATTACTCCACCGTGCCTCCTTATATACATATATAATATGTATTTAGGCAGCAATCCTTCTTTCATGCACATTTCATTGAATACAACAGACAAGGTGCTTTATTTAGTATTTTATACAATTTCTCATGCGATCTAATATTTTTTTTTCTTTTCCGATGATAAATTATATATAAACTGTCCAAATGTTCTTTTTATCCGAGCGCTTTCGGTTATACATTTAGCCATTTTCAAGGATTAAATATTTTAACTGTTAAATGAGAAATAGTTTGTTGCATATATGTTTTATAAAATGTTTTTATATATATATATATATATATATATATATATATATATATATATATATATATATATATATATATATGGGGGTGCGGTTGGGTGTTTGTGTGTGTGTGCACGCGTGTGTGTGCATTAAAATTATTTTCAGATAGACTGTATCTGTAAAAAACAAAATGAATATAAAGACAAGAGGAAAAGCTATTCTTCACCGACGCATTTCGTCCTCTGACGGACAAATTGTCTGACGTCCTCAAGGCAAATATAGGTTTTATTTTGATGCACGTCTTCATATACAAAGGCAAGGATGTCATTAGTTTTAAAAGGCTTGATAAACCAATGACATCCTACATTTGCCTTGATAAAGTCCTCTAGAGGATGACACGCGTCGGCTTAGAATAGTTTTACCTCTTGTCTTTTAATCACACACACACATACACACACACACACATATATATGTGTGTGTGTGTATATAAATATATATAGTTGCATATGTGTATGTTTCAAGTTCAGCGAAGTTATTCTACTTGCCATATAACCCAATGGCTAAGTCCTTGGAACACAACATCAGAGTAAAGTATCCCATTATTAGATAGATAATATAAAGTCTTTGAATTCTCCAATCCATCTAATAATAATAATAATAATAATAATAATAATAATCATTTTTTATCCGATCACTGGTTGATCAATAATTTCTTCTCACGTTTTATTCAATTGACCACTTACCTCTTTCGCAAGTAATTTATCAATATATTTATTATTATCAAGACTCCAATTAGAATGATTCGCAGTCCTGTACTAATTTTTTTGATCGGTAGAGAAAATGAGGAAAATGGTGAATGAGATTATGTTTAAAGCACTTTGATGATTATCACTGGTAACATGCACTAGAGAAGGAAAGGAATTACATTGTCCAAAATTTGGTGATTCATACGGCAAAATTGAATAATTCATATAATCATGACAATATGTTCGGAACTTTAAACAATAAAGATTTATTTTTTCATATTTAAATATGGAAACAGTCAGATTGTGAGAAAATTTATTGTAAGGTACAATGACACACGTAGGCACACGCGTGCGCGCACACACACACAGGCAGACACCCGCTCACACATAAAATCAATAGCCACAAATTATTTGCACTTTTGACGGAAGAAATATGGTATTGAAAATACCATATTTCAATAATGGAAAGTTTTTTTTGTAGTCGAAGATGGCTGCTGGTTGATAATTTGACTAAAGATGGTAATTAGATAAAAAAAAAAAATTACACCCTACCATAAATGCGTTAAGACGACATCGATGAAGACGCAGCAATGAAAAAAAAAAAAATTGATGATTTATATTAAACTGATAGCGACGTGACTATTCAATAACTTTTGATTTTGATTAACCCTTTCCAGTCCAGAATTGTTGGTTTTTTGCTAACTATAATGTGTATGTTGTTGTATGACTTTTTGTTTAGTGATTCAAATGACCATGATACTTATATTGGGATAAAGTTGTTTCTGAGATTGGATGTGTTTCAACTAAAATCATATACTGTATAATTTGGTAAAAGTCAATTTTTTCATCTATATTTTAGGGATAAGGATTAAATGGTTACATGACTAGTATTTTAAGTACATGAGATTTATAAGTGAAGTAAAGTTATCTTAACACCAATAAAAGCAACACTTATAAATATTGCTTCAAGTTTTTAAATATTTGCAGAAACTTTAACGATCAAATTTAAAAATATATTTTAAAAAACATTAAAAACATATTGAAATCTTGCAAATTCCTAATCAAGTTTTTTTCCTGTGAAAATTTAGAATTATTATTTATTTGTTTTATAAATGTATGCAAGCACGTTTGTTGTCATGCCTATTTGTAGCAATCGCTAAACACAGACTAACATAATAACCAGCTGTATGTTTTGAGGAGTGTCTCTCATATTAATTTCTTTTTGAAAACTTTATATAATAATAATAATAATAATAATAATAATAATAATAATAATAATAATCAATTCGTTGTGCTAGTTTTGTTGTTACTAAAGATCCGGTCAATCTATTAACCGAAACGCCATAGTAACAACTTCTTTCTTGGAATTATATTAGCTAAAAATTATTCCCTATTGGGCACATAATAATCTGTTAAGTTTTAAAAGACTATCTTTGCTCAAAAGAAAATGCTATGCTTTCAACAATGGACTAATGTTGAAAATTTGAAATGACAAATATTTTTATTAAAATTAGGAACTCGCCTTTTATATGATAGCGAATTTTTCAATAAATCTATGAGAAAGAAAATACAGGCTATATTGATCAAAACCTAAAGCCCTAAAGAAGTTTAAGTATCTATAACATTTCTTCAAATATTTGCCTGTGTTTGTCAGTTGATTTATAAAAAAAAAAAAAAAAGCAGTTTAAACCAGTTTGAGTTGAAAGCCCCAGTAACAAAGATAACAAAAAGAAGACTAATCTGTTAAGTTTTAAGATGACTAAAATTTATATTTCTTCTATAAAAAAAGCAGATTTTTCTCCTCAAAACAAGAAAATGCTATTTATTATAGAAACTTTTCAAAAATGGACTAATAAGAAACTTTATTTTTCCCGTTTGATAAATACACACATACACATACACATACGCACACACCTAACTCTGTCGCTTCGCTCTCTCTTTTTCTTTCTCTCTCTCTCTCTCTCTCTCTATATATATAATATATTTATATTAAAATTGAGGAACTCATTTTGCTTTTTCCTATAAAGAATTAACGGAATTTTTAATCCAACATATTTATTATTTCAAACGTTATTTTTAGTAGATAGCCTTTTCTGAGCAGACGTTCCGTTTATATTAAACAGTATTTTATTTATCTATCTATCTAAACGGCCAACTATCTATTTGAAAAGCAACTATCGTTCGTTCATCTATCTATCTATGTTCAAACCACGTCAAGGTTCTGTTTGCCTTTTAAACAGATTTTATTCGTTCAGATGAGGGTCCAACAGAACCGAACATTCAGACTATCCGCACATATGATTTTTTGATTATGTAGTGTGTTTTTAGTGTGTGTGTACCACAAAATCTTAAAATGACCAAACCTCCGATTTTGAAGCCAGAAGTTGTCCTTCTCATAGACTGATGGTCAACCAAGGCTAAGAGCCCAGTCTTCTCTACTACTCTGAGTTCTTATTCCGATTGCACCACCCACACATCCTTACACCATGCATGTGCCACCACACGCACACACACTCACGCGCACACACATATGTTATCAATCATATATATACTGGAAAGTATACCTATCATATACATACACACACATATACACACACATATATATATATATATATATATATATATATATATATATATATATATATATATATGAAAATATATAGAAAATAGGAAGGAACTGTTAAAATAATCCAAAGTCCCTTAATTTTAGTTATTATTTTTAAAAAAAATACATCTGCTGTTTCAAATTTAGACACCCCCACCTTTCCCTGACTTGACATCTTCGAAAGTAACCCTATACTGATATTTATTATTAACACCCAACAGAAAATGCTATGCTTTCAACAATGGACTAATGTTGAAAATTTGAAATGACAAATATTTTTATTAAAATTAGGAACTCGGCTTTTATATGATAGCGAATTTTTCAATAAATCTATCTATCTATCTATCTATCTATCTATCTATCTATCTATCTATCTATCTATCTATCTATGTGTGCTTGTGTGTGTGTGTGCTTGTGTGTTCTTGTATGTGTGTGTGTGTGTGTGTGTACGCACGCGCGATCACAGACATACCTTGATCGGCGTGCAGGAGTGATGGGCTCCCAGCCTTTGATATGGTATTCTCCTAGCAGAAGAAAAACTAATGTAAGACGCGCGTCAGTTACCTTGTATCTGTTTGTCTTTGGGATGCTCAGCATTTCTGGTGTGAGTCCCTATGATGTTGTGCAAGTCAGATACGACTAGAATCTCAGCTTGGCCATGGCCGTCATCTTAACGTCCATTGCTTAGGATGTGCGTGAGGTGTAATGAATATCGGCTGCGAAGAGAATGTCAGATAGTCGAGTTCGCATTCTTGTTCGGTTCATTGCTTTCACTTATGCATAAATACCTTTGGGATGGTCTGAATCTAGATTATCTCCAACTAAATATGGGTCAAATGGCAGAGCAGACTGGGCTCTATAGTTTAGGGGAAAGACAACTTTGAATTTAAAACCGTAACTATAGAATTAACTTGTCAGCAATGGTCATACGAGTCAACAGCCATCATATAGGTATGTGATATCAGAATTGATCTTTGTAATAAAGATCAATGGAAATAATTTTTACTTCGGGAAAAGTTATCGAATTTCTAATTGAAAAACTTTTTTTCCTCCAATCATACAACTTTATATCCGATCCACCTGATCAATATCATCTGTCCATTAGATTAAACTGTTAAAACCCGAAAACAAACAAGAATATGATTTAAAATCAGCATTAAGTTGACTTTTCTCTTCTCATATCATGTCGCGATATCAACGCTTCTAATAAACTGATTCTTTAGTCAGGTTTATATATATGAAATCTGCTATGTCGTTGTGGTGAGTGTACGACCTGGTATGTATGTGTATAATTAAATGTTTGTTTTAAAAAGAAGAAACTGTAGTATTTTACAAGTTTTGACTAAAACAGTTCAAATGAAAAGATTAATTCATTTTATCAACTGCACGATTTCTTCTTTCGACTTATTTTGATTCTGATTTTCAAATTCTTTCGGACATTACTTTTCGTGACTTTCGGTTAATTTGCTTTATTTTGCGTCTACACCAATCAAAAGAAGTTTAGCCAAGAATTAAAGCACAATAAAGCATAACAGAAGATGAGAACTACTTTTATTTTTAAGCAAGTTTATTGTATTGAAGAGATGAAAATCAAAATTCTTGATTATTCCTGAACTAGTGAACACCTTAGGCCTTTATGTATGAGATTAGGTGTGGATGTAAAGTTAGCAGAGTGGCCAGTAAGAGAGAGATATAGACATGGAAAAAGATAGAGAGAGAGAGAGAGAGAGAGAGAAAGAGAGAGAAAGAGAGAGAGTATATAGAGAGGAAAGAGACAGAAAGACAGAAGAAAACGAAAATTACCAGGAGGAAAAGGATAGAAATAAAAATAGGAATGAAAGAAAAAAGAAAATGGAATACAAAGGGGGAAAAGACGACAAAGTGAGAGGTGATAAAAAAGGAAGGAATGCGAAAGAGGGAAGAGAAAGAGTGATTAGAGAAAGTACTAGAGAAAATGAACATAAAAAAAGAAAGTCTATATATATATATGTATATATATATATATAAATATATATATATAAAGAGAGAGAGGGGGAAGAGAGAGGGAGTATGTGAGAGAAAAAGAAAGAGGATGGAGAAGTGTAAAGAAAAAGAATGTACAATGTAAGGAGAATAGGAAATGGAATCTTTGAAGTAAAATATTTCTATTTGCTTCTATGTAACATTTGTCCGTGGTAAAATAATCGTGATTAAAATTTGAATGAAAATTCCGTCTTTCTTTCTTGCAATCGAAACGATAAAAAGTAACAAGCTAAATAAAGCATTTTGAAAGTCTTTTTCAAAAGCAATCAGCCAACGCGCCGACTCGCCAAATTTTCAGAAGAAAAACAAGAAAAGAATTATATAACAGGTGGTACGCGCATAAAGGTTGTGTGGATTTGTGTATAAGAGTGTGCATTCATAGATATATGCATATATAACAATGAATACATTTTTATACTCACGCGTGAATAAGAATATTTACTCATCTGAATATAAATATACCGTATATTTTCGTTTGTATGTCGACCATTAAATCCCCACTCCCCAAATATTGGGTCCTCTAAGACAAAAGTTATAAAAAGCTAACCTTAAATCCCGGGGTTATCGGCACTTATAAGTAGGTTAGTATTCTTTCGCCATGGATCGAAGTAGGCTAACGACTACCTCGTTATAATAACTATCGATGTAAATATTTCTAGTTGAAACAATTCACATTATAATGCTGTAGTAAAGTTATAAATATAATAAAACCACTTTTATTTTTCGAGTTCACATTAAAATGCAATATTTAAGAGACGATTACACTACACGATTACAATTTGCAAAAGTTCCGTTGAGCAACACACAAAAATAACATGTAATGTAAACAAGTATTTCGTTCTTGATTTGTAGAGCTATCGATGCGTTCACGCCAATCACTATTTCTTATAGTAGTATTAAAGACAACATACAATCTATATACTTATAATAAAAATTCCTTATCATTGTGGTGTCAAATAACAACATTAAGCTAACTTTATTTTTTTAGTAGCATACATAATGAATTTTTCGCGTTGTTAGACAGCAAAGCATTAAGATTCCATAAAATCTTTATTTCTCATTATAGAATCCGCAACTTTTGTTTTCCTTCGTATGAGTCATAAGAATGAATTTGTTATTGTTCTTTTCATAAAGATTCATATTAATACTTTATATTATTTTATTCCTTTTGATTTCATAACGATAAAGCTAAGCAAAACAACACTTCTAATGTCAGTTCTATTTTATACCGGTAGGAATCATGAAAATTTATCTAGATGTTGGATCTCAAGTTATCTACAGGTTGCCTTATACGTGGAAATATACAGTGTATATATATATATATATATATATATATATATATATATATATATATATATATATATATATGTGCGTATGTGCGTGTAAGTATTTATCAGCTATAAATTTAGCTATAAGAGAACAGAGCTCAATTTCGAAGATAGAGCGTTCATAGTGTGGAAATAGGAATCAGGAATGGTCTTTTTTTTAGATTTGCCTATTATTTTCAGGCTGAGTTGTAATTCAAAATTGAAGCTTCCTTAGCATTTTTAATGTTTGCTTTCATGCAAATATTTCGAAACTCATAAATATTATTTTTGTCAATTCCAGAATTTTCAGTATTGTTTTTACAGAACTTATTTATATAAATTCATGGCATCTTTATTCAGTCCTAAAATTATTTTCCCTAGCTCTCATAATTTTATACAGCTCTTCAGCTAAGCTGTGTATTCCATGATAAAGGCATAATTCCAGTTTTGCTTTTTTCATACCTCCTTACCACATAAAGAATGTTGCATAGAAGAATTTCACTCAACTTTACGATTACTAGTTGCATTGCATTATTTAAAGACGCTATAAACTTGGCGATAGACTTCTTTGCTCTGAAAGCGGTTTTTTCTGTTTTAATACAAAATTCAAATTAGCCCGTTGCTCAATGCAATCAATGCTCGTGACACAGTAACCGTTTTTTCCAGGTCATAGAAATTCTTAAAAGAAAATTTCCCTTGAATTCCACCAAATGACAGAGAAAAACATTTTTTTTTACCACTGTATTATCTTATTTGGGTTGAAATGTTAAAGTGTGTGCCTTTGCTTTTTAGGTTCTCCTAATAAATTTATTTTATACCTATAAAAAAATCTTTTTTCTGAATTGCTTATGGAAGAGAAAAACAAGTCTTTATACGTTTGCTTATGTTCCTTTGCGTGAAACTTACTTGAAACCTATTTTCCTAGATTCTTAATTGTTCTTCGTGCTTGTAACTGATTTATTACAATTGCTTGCTTAGATCAATGATAAAGAACTAGCATCAAAACATTTCTAAGATTCTAACACTGTTCAAAAGATAAGATAGTGCTGCGAAATATTGGCATTAATCCAGTTTAAAAAAAAATGATAATGACGATAGCCTCCAACGATTTCTTGTTTTTTCATTTAATAATTGCGAAATTGTCTATTGCGTATTACCCATTCAGCTCAACAAATCACGCTTAGGATTTATGAAAACATATCTGACGAACTTTCATTCTCTTTAATAATCATTCATAGTGATTTTTAAACGTAAAGAAAACATGAAACATTGATCTTTGTTGTATATTAACACCGACTGCATTTAACCCCGCTACACAAAGTAAGTGAGAAAGTGAATGCAAGACATTAGGCTGCATCTTGAACTGAGTTCAAATTTCGGCCTATTGTTTTGCACTAATATTCATAGAAAAGCTAGGTATCTATCCCTTCTCTCTTTTCATCAATAGGTTAAATAACTGTGTAGATTGGATTCTTTAGCCTTGTGTAGCAGTTAACCTAGGATAAGGACAATTATGAATTCAAAACAATAAGATAAGGGGAAACCAGTCCACTATTTTCCCAAAAGGTCATAATAATTCTCAGATAATAAAAACAAGGAATCTGTGGAGATTCATGATCGCATACGTATCGAAGAGTCATTGCATAAAAATAAAAACAAAAAAATGTTGTGGCAAAGATCTCATTAATAGAATGTCACAATAATTGACATGCAGTCAAAGGCAAAATATTTAGATCTGATATTGGTACCATATAACCTATTCATTTTACTTAGGAAGGGGATGGTTTCCGTCTCAGCTTGCTCTAGAAATGTCTTGAAGTAAGGCAACCTGACGATTTCCTAGATCATAGAACAAACTGATCATTTTTTTTATCATAACAGTATTATACAAATACACATGCGCGTGCGCGCGCATACACACAGGCACAAACATTCATACACACATTTTCACATGTTTGTTATTGACAAATATCATTTCTCTTTTAGAAATTCGACGCAATAGGAATAGATTTCAATTGAATGTATGTAATATTCGTGTCTTTTGAGTTTGGTTTTAATGGAATCCTTTTAAAGGTTTCACAAATATTCCATAATGTTATCTTTGAGAAAGAGACAAAGAATCTTCGTAGAGAGACGAAAAATAAGGAAAAAATTGTGAAGAATTAAAAAATGAAAATATGCTGTATAAATGAATAATGCAGTTTATATGAAAAGAAAAATAGTAGAAATAAATCCATGACTACGAGTTGTTGAAAATTTTTATATAGCTGACCAAATGACCAAACATTTTTTAGGGAAGGGCTTCGTTGTCTCTCCACTACCTCTGGTATATCAGTGTTGACGTAAGGAAAAAAAAATAAGGCGAAAGATAATCTTTATTCCGTTGCCAAATTTTTTCTTGGCTTCACTTCGAACCTGTTCTCGTTTGATTCTCATTCATGTTTATTCAGTTTTTTCCTTTATCGATTTATCTCTTCACTCCTTCCTTATTTTTATTTTTCCATCGTTACTTCATTTTGCTTTTTATTTCTATTCGTTCTTGTTTTCATTTTTTAACTTTTCTTTCTTTCTTTCTTTCTTTCTTTCTTTCTTTCTTTCTTTCTTTCTTTCTTTCTTTCTTTCTTTCTTTCTTTTCCACTTTGGTTCTTCCTTTTCTTTTCTTTACACGTGAACTACACAGAATCTGTTTTCCCGCCTTTAATTGTAACTGTCAACACATTTACGATTATTACTTTAGTGGCCATTTTTACAAACCCATTTCCTTGCCCACAAACGACGGCAAGCAAATGTCCACCGCAAAATTAAATTAACTTCTTCATGTGCTAACCACACAAAAAATACATAGAAGCAAAGCAAACAATAACTTGTAAATTTGCTGAAGGCAAGTGTAAAGAAAGCCAAAGATTACAATTTGGATTTTTATCCCAACTAAATATTATTTTGACGAGTAAATATTGCCAAAGCACTTGACGCTTATGACTCGGTAATAAATTAAATGAGAGAGAATTGGCTGGACTATATTCTGAATTTAAAAATACCGGCATTGAACAAGAAAACCTGTGAAGTGTTTTCTCCAACAAACGGGTAGCTTTGGTCTAATTAAAACGATAGAAATTAGTGCTCATAAAATCAAAGCAAAGCGTACGACAGATTTGAACAAGGAGATAATATATGAGATATACTATCTTCTTTTGCTGAATATCTGCGCAGGTTGCATTGAAAAGAAGAAATTAAGCTTTTAGAGAAGGATTTTATGATATGTTCCTTATTTCGTGATCGCAGATAGTAGCAGTTTTGCTTTGAAAGACATTTTATAAATTCCGAGGCCAATCATTCTAGAATCTTTCTCCACCATGAAGCAGTTACATTTTTATCCCCAAAAATGTCAAAAAATATCGAGGAAGTCGTTTCTATAGAATGGATATGCATTTGCACTGTTTCTATCTATCTATCTATCTATCTATCTATCTATCTATGTTCATATTTTTTGTCTATCTTACTTTATTAATGGCAATCACGGCATGTATATTAATATTACATAAAAGGCAAAAAGGTAATAAAGGAAAGTGAGAAAGTATTAATTATTAACTGTAATAAGAGTGTATGCCCGTTCAAAAAAGTGACAGAGCAAGGCGTGAATTGAAGACGTCAAAATCAATAAAGTCCATAAATTTAACTATCTAGGTAGTGTAGTAACAGACGACAGAAACTTTGACACAGTAATCCGAAGGAATATTGAAATAGTGAAATATGCCCCCCTCCAAGAAATAATTAAAGAATTAAGAGATAGAAAAATTTTGTTAGACGCAACAAAAACATTTCTCAAGTGTAATTCGAATATGACTTTGAATGCTGAACAGTTTCTTCAGAGCTAAAGAAGTGATAGAGATGTGGCTCTACAGACAGATGATGAGAATACCATGAAGTGAACATGTGAGCAACATGATAAAAGGAAAACAGGAAATTTATACTTTCACCCAGAAAGAGACAGTTGAAATTTCTAGAACACATAAGGAACGAAAACTTGGAGAATTTGACATCTTTAGGAGAGGCAGAAGGAAACAGCGGGTAACCTACTTAATGAGTAGGTGCGTGGACAAAAAAAAAAAACGGATGTTAAAATGTGAAAAGTGACAAGGAACAGTAAATTGTGAGGAGTCATGATCGCCCACACCCTAAAGAGATACAACACACAACAGATGAAATAACATTTACGTATGCCTATGTATGGATAGATGGGTGTAAAACTTCTCTTGAAAACATGAATTCAAACAGTCACATAAGCATTTAGCTCCACATAGAAATATATTTTTCCACATCATTAATCTAAGAATTGTAGATTTAAAGAAAGCAGTTCAAATTTAAAAACAAATAAATCAAGGATCAAAGCAAAACTATGTCGTGTGAGTCCATGTCTTATTTATTTATTTACTATGTAGAATTGCAATGAAGTGAAGGACGACATTTTACGTTAAAGATGAATCCAAAAGATCTATCGAAAAAGCTCAGAGGCAGGACGAAACTTTTCATATCAAATCAATAAATCTGTTGGAATACGCATGGAATGCCATATTCATTCTGATTATATGTGACTCAAAATAGGAATAAAATACAAGCACAATTCGCACAAAATTAGAAAGGATTTATAGCGCCAAGATTCGGGCTCTGAGTTATGGTTAGCGTGTTAGTTTGGCTGATTGTTACTAATGAGAATTGAGCTGCTCACTGTGTGTTTTAGCACTTATCTGGCCCGCTAGAAATCCATTTAAGGCAGTAAAATATGCTCAAATCATGGAGATCCTCCCTAAGGCGGCAGCACCCCTATTTTAATAAAAAGAAGAAGTATAGGGTTGATCACAGGCGCCTGAGACGTCTCAACAAGGAAATAGCCGAGCGAGTGTTGATCAGTTTTTGGCCTTAGTTACATTTACGCGTGGATCTTTCACTTTTGAACAGCCTTCTATGCTACTTTGCTCGAATGAGAACTACCAACAATCAGACGCTACTGATTGCAAGGGTAAGAGTTAGAATGTTAATTTGTAAGGTAATTCTATTCGACTATTTACGTAGTGGCACCATACATTAACACCGCCACTACAGTGGCTCAAAAGAATCTCCGCTTGAGGTTGTTTGGTAGATGAGATTTCCAGATTACATTCATTTTATTGAAAGCGATCCAGGCTTTAGCTATGCGAATTTTTACATACTTTTTAGTAGAATTTATTTCACTTCCGAGGCATGTAAAAGATTCGACGGATTCATTTAATTGATTCACTTGAAACAGTTTATATTGAGCCTTATAGGTTGAAGCTGATTAATTCAGTTTTAGAGGCAGTGACATAGAGTTCAGCACCACTGGCATCATTTTCTAGATGATGTAAGAGTATTGTGGCATTGATAACGGTTCTGCAGTGATAACTAGGTCGCCTGCATAATCAATATCTGCCATTTTTTTGTAGGAGAGTCTTGGTGATAAACCTAGATGCTGATGCTTGTCTAGGGAAGTTCTCAAGGGTGATAACTCGGATGCTGAGAGCGATCCTTAACATCTGGAGACAATATCCAACTAAATCACAGCCCTATGAACCTATCCCTGATATTTCTACAATCTTGCGCGAACGCAGAATGAGCTTTGCTGGACAAAACAAGAACTCGCAAGTGATCTACTGTTCCGTGCCATGGAGCAAGACGAGGTGGCCAACCAACAACTACCTAAACTGACCAGATATGTTACGACATAGAATATCTCCCTAATGACCTTCCGACTTTGATACAGAGCCGTGATGGTTGACTTGACAGACTCACGAATGTCCGAGCTAACTCGACCAAATAAATAATTCACATAATAGAAGGCTAGCTTAGTACGTGTGTCATTTTTGGGTGTACAAGCAACTTACGAGTTCGAATCTCTTCAGATTCCATTCCCCTCCCCCATGCTTTAACGCGGCTGAAATTACGAACAAAGAAAAGGTTATACGTCTTATTTCTCATCATAAAGTTTTCATCAAAATCACTGTGAGCGATATAAACCTCATTGTTTGGAGAACACCGACAGTTTTACATGTAAACATCAACATTTATTCCTGAAAAATCTTGGCTTGTTCTCCTTACTTTACTCCTAAACACCAAGAAAATAGACTTTCTGGAACTTTTCATACCGTTATTGGCTTGTAGGCTGAGAAGTTGTTAATTAAAAAAAAAAAACATTGAGTAAACGGCATTTTGATTTTACCAAACAAACACATGTATGATGGCTGTCAACTCGCTAATCCTGTATGACCATTGCTGGCATGTCTGATTAATGTTTTTCGTTCTTGTGAGAATGACAATGGCTTTTTAAGCCATCAAGTGAATTGTTTTGTACAGGACCTGGCCTATTTTGTAAAGTTCAGCTTGCTCATGGGTTTTCATGTGACGTGTGAGACTAGAACAGTTTCTGCAGGTTCTCTAAAACACCATGCATGTTATTTCCAGCGTAGTACTGATCGTAATTTGTGAAATGTCTACCAATACGAGACTTTCTTGCGGCTAATCGAGGCCTGCATTGGAGAGACATATTCTTCCACATTCGTCACATGTAAATTATTGGATTTCCTGCATCAATAATTTCCTCTTTCCTAGCTGCATGTTTGACATTTGCCCAACCCATTGCATGTTCACACATGCATACATACATTACATTACATACATACATACATACATTACATACATACATACATACATATGTAACTCTGATATTAATGCCTCCTATTTTATTATCTTGACGCACGACGTTAGAGAGAAATGATGTTGAACCGTTCTGCTAATAATAATTCTCTTGTTGCACATAACAGCAAAACTCTGGCAAAATACTGTCTGACATGAGAGTGTGCACAAAGACAGTGGTATGTCAATAAATTCATCAGTGCAGAATAGATTTCATCCACTGATATTTATCAACGCTTGCCGGAAGTTTAAGGAGACGAAACAATGTGTGTAAGCACAGTTAGACGGTGGATGCGACAAAAAAAGTTCCGATCGGTTCGACACCTGCTGTCAACTCACGAAATAGAAAAAAAAGTTCTGGTTCATCACTGGCAAAAAATGCATAACCGGTGGTCGTGTCGAAGTGAGAAAAATAAAGTGTTGAAACTTGGATAAGCATGGAATAATAATAATACAACACAAAATGTACGTTAACAAAATGTATTGAAACAAGGAAAAGGTACACAATATTTACAGTTAGTTTTGGTATATTCTTGGGAAGACTGTTCCTGCATAATGGGTTGACTAAATCGCAGTCGGGCAGAGTCTCTGGATTGGATCTTCTTCTAACTACTATCTTACTCTCTGGTCTTCCGGTACCAACCCATATTTATATGGTCGGTACTCCACTTATGTAAATTAGGTGTATCGTACACAACATAAAGTCTTACAGCTGAAAACATCCTCCATCCGGTGGTGTTATTGTGTTATTGTATGTGTTGTTATATCCGTGAAAATAAACAGGATGAATTACTTTTTCAGTGGCCTTCGTATATGATCGCTTATGGCAAAATGACAGTCACCATGCAGTGTTGACTGTTTATATCTACAATGTCTACTTTATTTCTGACATTGAGTACTTTTCCCCTATAAATATAGCAAACTTTCATTTTTGTCTCTTAATCTCTTATATGATATAATTGTTCTTCGATCTATCTTGTAGACATATGTCTAGTATTTCTCTTTTTAATAATAATCATGTGTGGCTAGGTTTTCAACCGATTTTGTTAATTTCAATGTTTCATACTAGTACATCATTGTCAACATTATGCATCCATTATACACTTTATGTCTTTAAATATATTCGCAAGTAACTTTTCATTATGTTTCTAATTTTGTTAAATGCCTTCCATCCGTGCATTCTGCGTCGATATGTTTTTTCTTGGCCTTTTTATGTTATTTATTTAAAAGAAAAAAAAAAGAAGCTAAAATTGTTTAATTGCCTGTCGCCAGCAGATTTATTCTTGGACTTTTTCCAGTTCTTGCTCTTTAATTTTTATGATCTTTACAATTGAACATTTATTTTATTTCTGTTCAGTTTGAAACCTACGCTGAAACTTTCGTTATTTAGGTCATTTAGTATTTTTTTGATATCCAACCGATATTAATAAAATGTCACGACAAAATTGAAAACAGTTTATTCTCCGCTTAGATTTACTTCTATTCTTCCCTCGTTCATTTTCAAGGAGAGACTTTCAATTCATGGTTTAAATAATTCATGCGAAATCATTTCTCCTTGTTATATCACAGAGCCTAAATTCTACTCGACAATTTACAATTAATTGCTGATATAATAGAACAATACTGGACACATGGTGTCTGTGGTACTAAACATTCTTTGCAATATGTTCCATAAGATCAATTCCCGGTACGCTCTCCGATATATAGAGATGATGAGAGGATACCTTACTCTCGCAATTAGCCAACATACAAATCTTGCTGTATGGGGTCAACGTTTGAAGAGGTTTTGAATAATGTATCGTA